GTATAGCACGAGTACTACACCCGGCGTACCAAAACATCATACCCATGGTCGACACCACACCCATCGTCGCCCACATAAGCGACTACCAACGGAGGATCGAACCGCCCAGCGCCTTCGATACAACCCTCTTACCCGAAGACCCACGCCAACCACTTGACTCCGAAGCCGCCGATCGAACCGAACATGAGCCCGAACCAGTCCCGGAGCCGTGGCCGCCGGACTTGGCCCCACAGACCCAAGCATCCGTCGCCCAAACAAGCCATTGGTCCAACAAAAGAGACATCGTCGAGACCAGCCAGTTCATGCACCAGTCTGGAGACAATACCACCCAAGTGTTCCGCCAGAGCTACAAAACTACTCTACCCACGTCCAACGCCTCCCCGATCATCGCCCACATAAGCGATTACCACCGGAGCATCCATCCGTCAAGCACATTTGACAAACCCATCCTTCCGAAAAACCCGAATCAAACCTTTGACCCCGGAGCCACCGAACCCACCGAAGACGACCCAGAACTACCGACGGATCCTTGGCCACCCGACATAGCCCCGCAGATTCGAGAATGCCTGGACAAATAACGACCAAAGAAAACCGCCGAGAAAACCATCGTCATATGGGATAATCGACCCACCAAGCACCAACTACACCAACTACAAAGCACCCAGAACAGCAGAAAGGCCACGATCACAACCGCAGTAGAAAATATAACGTTACCGACGCCACGCTAAAGTGACGAGACTAACAGCGACGAATCCGGAGACTCGGCACAAGCCAAAGGACAGGATAACCCGGAAAAAGGCGAACCTCAGCACCCGCCAAGCGACGCCACAAATCTCTCCATCACCCACCCGGAAGAAAGGGGGGTTAACGAACCATGGATCCCATGGTTCGTCACAAGCAGATGACGCAGCCAACGCTACTCCCAGGTGAAGCGATCAACACCCAGCAAAAATGCAAACTCAGCACACGCCAAAAGACAGGAGACCAGCAGAAGGGGCTTACGCAATAAGTACCTAAAATAATATTAAATAAATAAATATTCCTAACAATATATATCTCCCCGAAGTGCCAACGAAATTCCTTTCCCACGGTACCGGTGCACACCGATCACCTTACCTGGGACATTGGACACTTGTTGGGAGGCGATTGCTTAGGTAACCCTCGATTACCGGGCAAAACCCCCACATGCGCAAGCCAGTCAGCAGTCTCCGACTCTCCTTACGGGGATATTGGACACTGACTGCAGGGCTAATGATTAGGTAACCTTCTGTTACCGATCAGCCTGTCTGCACGCGCAGACTATAATTGGGCAATATATATTTATGTAAGAACCCTTCCCACATTCTGGAGTAGAAATAAGATATCTGTAAGACATTCATGGGAAAATTGAAGGCCGGCCGATCTACCAGCCATCGTCGGAGGCAGTCAATCAGCCATCGCGAGAGTCAGTCAAATCACCATCCGCGTCGTAGTAAAAGTAAACATAATATAACCGGGTCATAATCATACGGAAGAATACGGAAGAATAAAGAAAACCATTAAAATTAAAAGAACCAAAAAAGTGTTGTGATTTCTATTTCAGTTTCTGGCAAAGTTCCTGGTTTCCCGATAAAGTCCTCGTGAATTATAAATATCTTGTAATTCACCTGACAGCTGATGCTCCCGCATGGCTGTGGCCGGCCCGCCCTGGCCGGCCCGCGCGCGGCCCCCCCCCCCCCCCCCCCCCCCCCCCCCCCCCCCCCCCCCCGGCCTCCCCCGGCCCCCCGGCCCCCCCCCCCCCCCCCCGCGGGCCCGGTCCCCCCCCCCCCCCGCTCCCCCCGGCCCCCCCCCCCCCCCCCGCCGGCCGCGGGGCCCCCCCCCCCTGGGCGGGCCCCGCCCCCCCCGGTCGCCCGCCGCCCCCCCCCCCCGCCGTCGCCGGTGTGGTGCGGGGCCAAACCCCCGTCGTGGGGGCGCGCGCCCCTGCCCCGTCGGGACGCCCGCCCGGCGCCCCCCCCCCGTCCCCTCGACGGCCTGTGGCTGGTAACCTGGCGGCCGCCCCTCCCGGGGCCCCCCCACCCCCCACTAGCAACACCCACCGTCCGGCGGGTCACCCACTGGCGCCTCAGCTGGCGGGCATCCCGGACCAAACGTGCTTATCGTCGGCTGGCCCCCCATGAACACCGGGTACACCCTACTCGCGCCCCCCCTACCACCCGTCCGCCAACGCCCCCCCCCAGACCCCGGCGCCGCTCCCCACCCCCAACCGGCCCTAGCCCCCACTGACCCCATCAACCGCCCCCCCCCACCCAACGAACACCCCACCCAGACCGCCCCCCCCCCCCGGCAGCCCCCACCCCACCCACCAAACCCAGCACCCCGGCCTACGGCCCCGCCGGCCCCCGGGCCCCCCACCGTCCCCCACGGCCCTACGCCTACCCGGCCCGACCGGAGCCCGGCCCCAACGCCACACACCCCCACGGCCCCGCTGCCCCCCCGGTCGGGGCCCTACTACCCGCCCCCCCGGGCCCGAACCTCGGGCCCCCCACCCGCCCGCGTCCCCGCCCCCCCCGTCCCCCCCTGGAGTACCCCGCGTACTGCGTGCGCGCTCGGCCGCCGGCCGCCGTCCGCGCCCTACTCTGTTGTGATCCAGGGCGTCTCGGCCCCTCCGTACCAGTCTGGCTGCCGGTACCACCCCGCGTACCAAACCCCGCCCCCCCCATCGTCCCCCTAGCGCTACCACGGGTGCCGCCCGCGCCTCGATACAACCCCTCCGGCCCACGCCAACCACTTGACTCCGAAGCCGCCGTCGAACCGACTGGCCCGAACCGCCCGGCCGGGCCGCGCGGCCCCCAGCCCAAGCTCCGTCGCCCAAACAGCCTGGTCCAACAAAAGGACTCGTCAGCCACCGCATGCACCAGTCTGGAGACAATACCACCCAAGTGTTCCGCCAAGCTACAAAACTACCTACCCACGTCCAACGCCTCCCCGATCACGCCCACATAAGCGATTACACCGCATCCATCCGTCAAGCACATTTGACAAACCCATCCTCCGAAAACCCGAATCAAACCTTGACCCCGAGCCACCGAACCCACCGAAGACGACCCAGAACTACCGCGGTCCTGGCCACCCGCTAGCCCCATTCGGAAGCTGGACAAATAACGACCAAAGAAACCGCCGGAACCATCGTCATATGGGTATCGACCCACCAAGCACCAACTACACCAACTACAAAGCACCCAGAACAGCAGAAAGGCCACGATCACAACCGCAGTAGAAATATAACGTTACCGACGCCACGCTAAAGTGACGAGACTAACAGCGACGAATCCGGAGCCGGCCAAGCCAAAGGACAGGATAACCCGGAAAAGGCGAACCTCAGCACCCGCCAAGCGACGCCACAATCTCTCCATCACCCACCCGGGGGTGTAAGCGGATCCCATGGTTCGTCACCAGATGACGCAGCCAACGCTACTCCAGGTGAGCGATCAACCCCAGCAAAATGCAAACTCAGCACACGCCAAAGCAGGAGACCAGCAGAAGGGGCTTACGCAATAAGTACCTAAAATAATATTAAATAAATAAATATCCTAACATATATATTCCCGAAGTGCCAACGAAATTCCTCCCACGGTCGGTGCACACCGATCACCTTACCTGGGACATTGGACACTTGTTGGGAGGCGATTGCTTAGGTAACCCTCGATTACCGGGCAAACCCCCACTGCGCAAGCCAGTCAGCAGTCTCCGCTCTCCTACGGGGTATTGGCCGCTGCAGGCTAATGTTAGGTAACCTTCTGTTACCGATCAGCCTGTCTGCACGCGCAGACTATAATTGGGCAATATATATTATGTAAGAACCCTCCCCTTCTGGAGTAGAAATAGTATCTGTAACTTCATGGGAAAATAAGGCCGGCCGTCTACCAGCCATCGTCGGAGGCAGTCAATCAGCCATCGCGAGAGTCAGTCAAATCACCATCCGCGTCGTAGTAAGTAACATAATATAACCGGGTAGCATAATCATACGGAAGAATACGGAAGAATAAAGAAAACCATTAAAATTAAAAGAACCAAAAAAGTGTTGTGATTTCTATTTCAGTTTCTGGCAAAGTTCCTGGTTTCCCGATAAAGTCCTCGTGAATTATAAATATCTTGTAATTCAGGACCCTGGACAGACTGATGCATACCTCAGCCTGAAATAGGACATTACAGAGTGTGGGACTGATTCTGAATTAGTCATAGTGTGGAGTGTGGGAACGAGCTGATAACGTATTGGTCAGCGACGTTCTATTGCATTCCAGAGTTTTGGGTTGCATGGGTGTAAGGGTGACGGCTGGGCATATGCATAACGTGTATGGGTGTGGGTGTGGTTATGAATATGTAAAGTTCTTAACGTATACTTAATGCGTATGTAGGTGTAGGGCATTATGGATATGTTACTATATGTATCTTTAAAATGGTGCATGCCACAGATTTTCGTCCTTTGTGGGGGCGGAAGGGGGCGGGGCGAAATTTTGAAATACACTTGTAGCAGTGTGATATCACATGAGTCTGGAAACCAAATTTGGTTGCCCTAGCTCTTATAGTCTCTGAGATCTAGGCGCTCAACAAGACAGACGCACAGACAGACGGACAGACAGACATGGCTCTATCGACTCGGCTATTGATGCTGATCAAGAATATATATACTTTATGGGGTCGGAAACGTTTCCTTCTCTGCGTTACACACATCCACTTTTACCACAAATCTAATATACCCGGGGGGCGGCGGCCCCGCCCCCCCCGCCCGCGCGGGGGGGGGCCCCGCCCGGCGGCGGGCCCCGCCCCGCCCGGGGAAGGGGGGGGGGGGGCGGCGGGGCCGGGGGGGGGTGGGGGGGGGCGGCGGGCCGCGCGAACCAAACAATACCCCTTAACTCTTTTTGAGTACGGGTATAAAAAACTGAGATATAATAATTACCATGTATGTATATTTATAGTGTTACTTATAGTATTATAATACATATATTGATTACGCTCCCTGGTATTATGTTAAATTATTTGGATATTGGTTAATCACAAGATTCGTAATTTCTTAAGTGCGTTTTATGGAAATACACCCAATCAAATAGCGCGCGATTTCGATACAGCGTAAAGTTCGGTGTATGGCACCGCTGAATGAAATTAAGGAGGAATTCAAGTAAAAGCGATTACTGTGGCACCCCTGATACATACATATGCACATATTTTCCTGTTCATCCTGTAAGGAAGCGATCTAGGCTGGGGTACAACTCTCAGTCAAGCCAGGGCACAGTGGTCGATTCTGCCAATCTGGCAGGCAATAAATGAAAAATTAAAATGTTGAATCTTATTAATTTTTTTTACTTTTTGGAAAGTAAACATCCCACTGATATTTATTGCGATATTTATATATTTTTCCTATCGATAGTCCAGCACCTTCACGCGGTTGAATCGCAGAAAACTTTTCCGTCCATACCTAAGTACATTTCACCGCCTTTTTATGGCTTTTGGTAAAGCAAAATAAATCTTAATGTTTTGCGATTTGTATTAAAATTACCATCCATTTTTATCATAGTTGGTGAGTATTCAATAAAAAATATATGTGTTGGTCCTGTGCTTACATGTATTAATGGTAAATCGTTGTAGAACTTAACATTTCCTTTAGTGTGCTATTAATAACATACCCGACACTTGCATGGAATAGATCTTTTGACATCCGCCCCCATTCGCCTTAAATCGTTTTCTCTTTATGAAACCAGTCTTTTTTTAATCTTCTGTGTTGAAGCAAATTGCAACTACGTGCCACACGTTAATTTATTCGATTTTATAGGGAAAATGGCAGTGTCAAAAAGCACGCTTTTCGCGATGTTTCGTAAAAAAACTGAGTAAGAAAAAAAGCTAAAGCGAGTTGGATCCATGTTTTCACTCAAATAATTGAAAATTGATAAACACAAACTCAGCGAAAATGATTGTTAGCGAATAAAAAAAAAAAATAAAGTAATTTTGCCTCTGAGTGAAGTGTGCAGCAGAAATTTAAAATACTTAAAAAAATAGACCAAATTTTAATTTTACCTATACCTTTTTTGTATTAATATATATATATTATATTATATATATATATTATATTATATTATATTATATATTATATTATATTATTATATATAATATATATATGTTTATAAAAACATTTTATAATATTTTGAAATACAAAAAACATGCACAGATCGACAGAGGATGCCTGGGCAATCGCCGGGCGGCACCCCTGGGAAACTACGGATCAAGGGGGTCGCGGAAACCGGCAGAGATCGACAGATGAAGACGCGCTGGTAGTTATTTAAGTTGCATTTATTTAATCTCCTCTTTTTCTACTTCTGCTTGAACGCACCGCTCTGCAGCCCACCTCCTCACGACGGTGAGACTTGCTCACCCTTTCCTTGCTCGCCGTCAAAATCTGTCTTCTTTGCTTCCACTGGCACGTCCGTTCAGCTCGCTGGTCTGGAATCTCACTCTTCATTTTCCCTGTGGCTCGCGATCTTATAAACCCACCCTTGATGCCGGTCTCTCGGCAACATTTTGTCGCTTTCGGCTCTCTTCTTGGCGTGAGTATTGGTGTCCATGGTGAAATTACTAATAGGTGACGTCGTCAGCTGAGTGGAGGACCACCAGCTTATTCACCATCTCTCTCTAGCAGATAGCAAACGTTTACGTTCTGCACTCTTCGTTTGGCAAACAACTGACAAGCTGGTGGTCCTCGAATGAGAAGGCACTGTGGTGAATCCGTCACCTATTAGTAATTTTACCATGTTGGTGTCTCTCTCTGTGCTGATGCTGGTGGTTGAGCTTTTCTGCTCTCTGTGCTGGTGTTGTGGTTCGTGTATCAACTCTGTGCTGATGTTGGTGGTTGTGGTTCGTGTCTCAACTGTGGAGCTTTCCCTTGACACCGTTCTATCAGTGATGCCCGAGCGATCACTGTGCTTTTCCCCTCCCATCTAAAGTCACGACCGAGCAAGTACTTAATATAATTTTGATTAATGCTATGAGCTTACTTACTTACTAACAAATGCAGTCACTCAACCTAATAATGAACATAAAAAAAAATAATAGTAAATAATAGTAAGAGATCCATTCATGGTGAAAAAAAATAATTTGGGGAGCCTCTGCTCCTTCACAATCCAGCTAAAGAATATAAACACATATATAATTACAGATATACTTTTCTCGTAAATTGTTTTTTTAGCACTTCTTGAGAAAAAGTGCATACTAAAATTTAAAAAAAATTAAATTACTCGAAAAAATATAGGTGAAAGTCAGAATATAATTTGTATTAAAATTGAGTTTCTAGTGCTCTGCATATGTATATTATAGATCATTTCCAGGCGTTTGTTTTTGTTTGTGGTACTTTTCCAAAAAACCTTTATTTTTTACATATGATGTACTCAGTAAAAGTAAGGGCATGTGTTCTATTAGTACACACTATTTGTATGACTTAATCCATGAGTACTGTATACGTTAGGTTTATAGCAACCACGAAATTTTAAATGAAATTAAAAATAAAATTGTTGTCTCTACATATAATCAAAAACAAGTTCAAACGTTCTGGCATAGTAAATACTTATAGTGCAAAGTATTCCGGCTCGCATATTCTTCATAATGTATAGTTTATGCAATTTGGAATTATTATCTGATTTGGCAAAGTTCTTATGAAACAACAAATTTCAATTTTAAATTGATTGGAATATTTTTGGAAATATTAAAAAACAAGATTCCGACATAGATAAAAAATATGTATTTTTTAGGATCGCGGATGTTTCATTTTTGGCGTGAAAAATCATAATGAAAAGTAAGTATAACAACAAAGATAGTCCTGCAGACGACTTCCAGACTATTAAGATGATTTCCTTAAATAGTATAAATACAATTCAACATGCTAGCGCTATTCCAACCTCTTTTTGGCAAGAACAGGACATGAGCTATCAATATGTACTATGAATTAAGATGAATTTCGTTTTCAATGCTTTTGCACAGGATCTTGGTTTTTTAATTTTTAAAAATTACCTTTATTGACCCACCTTGATTGCATCAGTATATGTTACTGTAACCAGTAAAAGTTTCGTATCTTCGAAATTAATACCGCAGATTTTTCTCTGTTTGGTTATTTGTCTGTTTTAAACCTTTTAATCTACGAGATGTCTCTGATTCCGATACAAACTTCAAATCGGAACGAAATGGATGGATTGAGTCTTCATGAGGCCAAACAAAAATTTTATAGCAGTCATGTTATCTCTCTGTTATATAAAATAATAACGGTTTTTTCGGTCACCGCTCGATATTTAATTTTTTGTGCTTCTTTTTCTTTCAAGTTAGTGGGTGAAGAAGAAAAAGAGTGGGGTGGGAGGTTGTTTGGGTTAGAGTAAGAATAAGAAAGTTAGTGTTGTAGTGTCTGAGTTAGAGGCACAGAAAATAAACTATTGGGCGGAATGTCACTGCTTTACTAATAACTACTTCTAATAACATTAAGCGGATGCCAGTATAAATGGCATTAATTTGGTTTGGTGCCTAAGCAATTCGTGTTTTATCATCCATTTCAGTATCATTGCAAAATTATGATGTATTAATAAGGCGCAGTGATCAGAAGAATAGTTGTGTGAGCGAGCGAAGCGAACTAACCAGGGGTTGGTGCTAGAGCGAAACGAGTGCGCACGAGGCTTGCCGCTAGTACGAATATAATTAAATCAGGGTTTCTACGATTATCGGGGAAAAATAATGATTACACTGTACAAAAAAATAAAAGCTTTTGAATTTTCTTTGCACAAGACAAAAAGTAACTTGTAGGCGGCCTGGATGAGTAGTTACATTTTGGAATTATACATACAATATTGAAATTAAATATCAAGTTAACAAAACTATTGGACGTTTTTGAAATTAGGCAATTTTATTGATAAGCATCTTATTTTGCTAATAACAATACTCAAAACAAAATTGAAAATTGTTTTCCTCCAAACGTACTTTTTCTGATAGATTTGGGGCTTTACATTGTTTTAAATTAATTATTGTTTTTTTTTTGTTATCTATTTCAGAACCGTTTTTTTTTAAGAATTTTTAGAGTTAGAGTTTTTCTTACATCTGGTTTTAATGTTGAAGGCCAAACGCTGATAAATGCTATAAAATATACCTGAACACTTTTTAACTTTGTTGGCCCAACTGCTAGTGTAGTTATGACTTTAGCTTACAACAAATACTAAACAAAACAAAAACTAAAATACACAAAAATTTTAAAAGACGATATATAACAGCCAAGCAATTTACTGAAAAGACTATAACACCATTTGACCTTAATAGGTATCCATACCTCGGATAGGGTATAAAGAATAAAAGTAACTGTCAACATTTACCAAGCTTAAAAATGCAGCTATAAGTTAAAATCAAACACTTTGTGATTTCAGCTTACCGGCTGGGAAATATTAGGCTTTCAAATGAAAAAATTATGATTTTTGTGCGGTACTCTTTTCCAGAGATTTTAAAGTAAAAATGTTCAAAAAATACCTCTCAAAAATCATTAATTTTGCATTAACAATTTTGGACTGGAAGGCTCAATATTTCCCAGACGTTAAGCTGAAGCTAAAAAGTGTTCAGGTCGACTTTATAGATGCATTTATCATCTTTTTAGAAAAGCAAAGTTCATTACAAACAGATGTAAGACACTTAAGTTATGTGAAAAAAGCGCTATCCCTAAATTAAGCTTAAAAATACCAGTTTTCAAAAATTCTTTAAAAAAAGTTCTGAAGGATACAAAAAATTATCATCAATTAATTTCAAAGCCCCAAATATATAAAAAAAAATGGGTTTGGTCCTTGAGGAGAAATCGTGTCGGGTAGTGTTACAGGCCTACAAACAAATTTTTTTTCTCCTGCAAAGTACAAAATGACAGTCGCGGAGCTATTAAACAATTTTAACGGCATTTACATGTTTTCATCTTTGTGGTGGTTTTATTAAAAATAAGCGTAAAAACCTTTATTCGGTTTTTCTGTGAATTTACGAATGTTTCTAGGTTTCATTATTTATTAATTTTGTCTTTCAATGTATTTAAAGTGTTTATCTTGTGTTTAAAATAAACTTCGCATATATATTTCGTTTGGTTTTTTTTTTTTTGCAATTTGTGTTTTTTTTTTAATATTGTGCTAGTTTTTTAAAGCTGTTTTTACTTGAACATTTAAACATTTTTTTTACCGAAAAAAATTGTATTTTATTGAAACGATAACACTTTGCAACACGATCCCACGTTTTTTTTTACTTAACGAACCAAACCGACTTTTTCAGATAAATAAAGGTTTTTTAAATGTAAAATAAAAAAAAAAATATTTTTCATGTTTTTTTAGAGGTACTGATTTTGTTATCACATAACTTATGTATCTTACATCTTACATATTAAGCTTTCAATGTAAAATTGTTAATTTTTTTTGCGGTATTTTTTCAAAATTTTGACTTTAAAAGTTCACGAAAAGTTAAAAAAAGGGGAAAAGTGTGAAAAAACATGATGATACATATAACCAGACTTAAGATAGTTAAGTTATGTGAAAAAGAAGCACTGCCCCCCAAAAAAAAAGAGAACACAATTTTTGAAGATATAAAAAAACCGTGCCGTAAAAAAAACTTTTTTTAAAGATTGTAATGTCTCTAAAAAGTAGGTTTGATGCCATGATTTAATCGTCTGTTGCATAGTGAAAGCAGTCTGATATTATGTAAGGTTCTGTAGATATAATACATATAACGATGTGTAACGTTGTGAGTCGCGGCAAATCTCGCGCCTCTACTCTTATACCCGGTACTCAGTCAGAATATATGAGAATGACTTATGTAACCAAAATAATATATTTAAAGCGTAATTATACGTAAGCGCCGGATTTTGAATCGGATCCGATGCACACCGTTTATCCTCTTTCCACTTAATGACCTATTTTATTTTAATTTTAAAATATTTTATCTGTTTCCAATAGCCTGCAACTGGCTTTTATTCCGCTTCATCTGTCTTTCTCTCTCACTTCTCACAACAACACCAACCGTTGTATATCGCTCCCCTCCGCCAGAGCGCTCACACTGCACGAGGCAGAGTGTGTGAGCGAGAGAAAGGGAAGGGAAGGGGTAGCGTAGCCACTACAAATGTATGTATACAAATCTCCTTCTGTCTATAATAATAGTCCGTTCAAAACCAGACTCGACAATCTGCTTTATATATTTGTACTTTTTTACCTGTATCTTTAAAATCGTGGATGCCACAGATTTTCGTAAGTTATGGAGGCGGGACGAAATTTTGAAATTCACTTATAACAGTGTGATATCACAGGGGAGGCTGCATACAAAATTTGGTTGCTCTAGCTCTTATAGTCTCTGAGATCTAGGCGTTCAACAAGACGGTCGGATCCGTCTATCTGTCTGATAGACAGACATGGCTATCGACTGGGATATTGATTCTGATCAAAAATATATATACTTTATGGCAGCGATGCCCAGGCCCATTGCCCTCCGAGCCCTTTTGTTTTTGTAATTGCCCTCAGCATAGGAAACCAATTCTTGTATGCATACACAGTTTGTGTTGTGTACCAGCATACCGAAAGCCCAACACATGCAAACATCTTTGTGTGTATGCGATCCGTCCAGCCAAAACCGGTTTTGTCTCTTCTCTGATTGGTGTTAACCCGACTTTTGTTATGATTTTGTTGTTGTCTTTTCTTCGAGTTTGCATTGTTCCCTTATTGGTATTTGTGTTTTTGTTTGGGAGTATTGGTGAGTGCCCTGCCGTAAGCTGACTTTGGGCATCGCTGCTTTATGGGGTCGAAAACGTTTCCTTCTGTGCATTACACACATCCACTTCGACCACAAAACTAATATCCCTAAACTAATATTCGAGTACCGGGTAGGAAAGGGAAATTTATTTATTTAAAATTATTTGTTTGACCGTAAACTATCCTATGTGTTTGCAGCTAGTTTGAGTTTTTTACAATTTATACTACATAACACATTTACATAATTACACAACTACCATTAAATAAAATGCCGGAATTTTAATGGAGTTCGCTAAGTTTATTTTGATCGGTGTCTTTTTTTCATGAAAACTAAATATTAATATCCGTTTTATGCAATATTGCACAAAAATATTAATAACAGTAGTAAATAATCTATTAATGAATTCGAAAGAAGTCTGAGGTATAAAAAACGTATACATACATTACTTGCTATATCTTGGGGTAAAGCCAAGTGATGAGACGAAAAAATTTGAATAATAGTAGACAATTTAATATCTTAATCAAAACTTAGAGAACGATAAGTTCATATGATTGGAAAATCTAGGAAGTCGCCTTTGTTGTAAATGCACTAATTAAATAAGAAGTATTTTTTTATTTTTTAATTGAATTATGCAAAACGAGATTTCTAAAATATTAACCTAATTAACCTGAATGCTTATACTAGAAATGTTTAAATTAAATGCGAATAGTGTACAATGCTTTTCAAATGCAGACAATAATTTATATCTTCCTGGATCAATTAAAATTTAAATAAAAATAATCATGTTCTGAAATGGAATTTTGCTATGTTTACCACATTAGGATCTTCAACATGGCGGACTTTTTGTTTTATGAGTATTATGAGTAATATGTATTATGATGCATAAGAAACTAGTAGGCATACGTTTTCTTTACCAGACGTCCTACAAACCTTACGTTTACTATATCATCCACCCTCCATATAACACTAAATAAAGCGTTTGCAAAACCTTATTTTCAATTAACATATGCATTAATTTCAGGATAAAGAAAGGCAAGAAGCATGGTTAGATCATGTGTAATTGGTGCTGCTCGCTCAGTTTGAAAGTCGACGCATCGCTTAGGAGATGGAAAGGCATTCCAGCCGCTGTTGTGGCAATTTCCAGGGACGATAAATTAGAAGTTGCTGTTACCGCCGCTGGACTATTGCTTCCGCTCACGTTTGTAATGTCACTCTTTAGTAAAGTATCTAAAGGCATATTGTGAGAGAGGTGATGTGCTGTGCTAGCATTTGGAGACGAAAGCGTACCTGCGTTCGCTGTTGTAAATGAATTTCCCGAATGAGAGGCTCCACGCCCGCGTTTTCGTTTTGGAAGAATGCCTTTTCGCGCCATATAAAAACGAATGGTTGAGACGGGTATATTAAACATATTGCTGACTGTTTGAAATGTCTCGCCCTTTGAAACGCATTTGGCAGCTTGTGCTAACGAGGCCTCCGAGCGTCGAACACGCTTATATGAGGTGTAGCTATCGATTGAACTATGCATAAGACCTGCCGATATACTGACAGGCATATCTGCGTCAAAGCTAAGGGATAGGCCACTCCCGCTGTTTGCAATACGGGCTACGCTACTCTCATTATCATCATCCTGAGCAGCTACATAGTTGTGATCGTCTTCGATGGTGGAGTCCAAATTATTTGGCTGTTGCTGAAACTGCTGTTGGGACCTATAAAATATATATGAAATTTCTGTTTATTAAAAAACTGTATTGAGGTGTGATGTCTATTATATGTTATTTATTTAATTTGTATTAAAGATAATCTATTAGATAGTTACTATTCGTACGGGGGCAAATAACACTACCCGAAATGATTTTTCTTCACGGAACCATACCGACTTTTTCTGACAGATTTGAGGCTGAATGGTTATTAAGAGTTTTTAAAAGCTATTGAAACTAGTTTATAATGAAGAAAAAGTTGATCGTTTTTAATAGGCAATGTTTGCACAATTTATGCTTTTTAGTAAGGTAGGCGTCAGTATGATGACCGATACAAATAAAACCGATTCGATGGCTATGAAGATTATTTCATTATTTTACTCTAAGGGCAGATGGACCGAATCGCCCTATGCAGCAAGTCTTGGGAGAGAGTGAGGGTTAGCGATAGAATGGGAGCAGCTCGGGCAGATGCTAAGCCAAGCACGTAAACTACTGGTCAAAATAATAAGTACACGCTCATGAGCTTTCTTTCACGTCTCGTAAAACTTTTTTAAATCCATTTAACTTTTAGATTACTAACCTACAGTAGAACATAAAAAAATTTAACATACACAATTTTCGCTTCAAATATATAGTTTCTGATCAATCTGTGGTTAAACATTTTTTTTGTACTGGACGTCGGATTATTTGCCTTTGGGGCGTCGTACATATCTCCTGTAATCATTACCAAAAATATTTGGTTTTGTTTTGTCGCTCTATAATATATTATTTCATTTTTTAGAACCATCTGGCTCAGAGCGTGCAAAATTTGTTTCGCCAAATTTTCGCCTCATCTCCAAATTTTTTTCTCGGGGTAAGGAACCTTTTCGGGCTGTACGTTCTGATAAGTCTGAATATTGAATGTTGCCTACGAGGAACGGTCTGAGATGATATTTCATTGCCAATTTGAGCGGAAATGGCTTTGTAAGACATGAACGCATAATTTTTTGCAAGACTGGCGATGCGGGTGTCCGTTGTTTGTGAAGATTTCTTCTTCCTTCTTCGATTTTCTGATTCAAATATACCGAGCGTCAAAGACTTTTCGCAGTTTGCAAGAAGTCAATAAAAACCAACAATCCTTTGACCAAATCCCAATTAAATCCTTAAAAATTCATAAATACCTCCAGTGTACTTATTATTTTGACCACACTAAATATGCACAGCCAGCACAAATTTAAGCTTAGAATTAAATTAAGAGTGCTCCCAACTTTCATTTTTGATTTAAATGTTTGACAAAACTGTAGTCTTTAAAAATATAAACAATTGGCAGTCATAAATTCGAAAACATTCGAGATATTTCATAAAAAATCAGCACGATGCCTCTGTACTTATTATTTTGACCAATAGTGTACGTCATATGGAGCGCGAGAGACGAGCTTAGATTCTGATACAGCAACAACAAAGCGAAGACAACAGTATAGACAGACGAAAGAACGAAAGGCCGCTGCCAGCGTCAAATACATATATATTTTTTTTGTATCATTTATTATTGGGTAACTGTAGGGTAACAGTAGATGCAAGAGTGCCTGAAACCTGCGGGACTGCCCCGATGCTTTGCTTCGCAGGGGACGGGCGGGTCGATTTGGACCCCTCCTTCCATGCCATTGCGCATCCAATCGAGCTCTCTCCGCTTCCGCATATCCTCTGAATGCTCACTCAGATACTCGGGACCTGTAATCTTCGCTGCGTAGCATCTCGAGCTCCAACGAGATTTCCCTAGCTTCCTCGGCTAGGTCCACCACTAGAAGCATTCCAGCGATGAGGTCCTCCATCTATCCCTAGCTTCCTCGGCTAGGTCCAACACTAGAAGCATTCAAGTGATGACCAGAGCCGCATCTTCCGAGATGGTTCGAAAGTACCTCAACTCAAGGTAGCGGATTGCTCTCGAAGATGTGATCTCGACGGAGCTAACTCGCACCGTCGCAACCTCCACTTTCTTGCGGCTGGAAATCAACACCGCTTCAACACAGAAGACTGTTCAGCCAGCCTTAGGCCCACTAATGTCAGCCACTCTTGGATCACGGCCACCGCTTGGTTACACCTGGCCACCACTTCTCCGAGGTGCTTGGCTACCACTACCAACGCGACGTCGTCTGGAAAACATACTGTCCAAGTATCGCCAGGAAGTTGGAGCTTGAGGATAGCATCATACATTACGTTCCAGAGGGTCGGGCGGAGGACAAAGGCTTGGGGAACGCCGCATGTGAACTGGTTCTCCACGGTGCCGCAGTCGCTGTCGTACAACAGCCTCCGGCATCGAAATTAGTCCTCGATGATGGCCACCAGGTAGTCTGGGATTCCCAGCCGCTTGAGAGACCTGAGGATGACGTCCCACTTCGCCGAATTGAATACGTTTTTTACATCCATTGTGACAACGAGGCAGTACTGCTTCCTTCCTCCAAGCCACCTGGTGCCCTCTATGACTTTTGCCGTGACCATGACAGTCACTATGCGGATCGATCTTGCCTTCCTGGAACAGAACTGCATGTGGGACAGGTCACCTGCCTGCGCAATTTCAGCTTGAAGCTTCCTGCAAATGCAACGCTCCAGTGATTTTCCCACGTTGTCGATTAGGCAGATGGGCCTGTACGACGAGGGGTCCTCGGGAGGCTTTTGAGGCGAGAACAATGTTTATGTACAGTGTGTAGTGCAAATAACAAACAATGGTGACGTTAGGCTATAATTTAAGATTTTGACGACTAAATATCGCCCTGGGAAACCCGACAGAGGCTTTGAAAAGAAATGTATGAAATCACGCTCTTGAATTGTGAAGTTTAGTGCTCTTATACTATGTTGCGAACGGAGCGTACGCCAGCAGCAGCCGCTCATGAAGAGGGCGCCGCTTTAGAATAAACTTATTATTGGAAGTCAATTGAAATGTTTTTCTGTCGGCCTAATATTTATACAAGCCATTTAAACAGATTTCTGTTTGATTTGGAACTTCAGGAGAAGATTTTGGTTGCGCATAAGCTCCTGCATCGTTTGTTGTATTGCTACCATTGTGTTTGTTATAGTTACCAGCATTGACTCAATTCCACTAGGCAATTGGGATGGATTAGCAGGGATATGTTGGGCAGAGATTTCTGGGATCTGATTTGATGCCTGATTCTGCATTATTCCAGCTGTGGTTGGTTGAAGTGTCGGCTTAGAGACTGAGGCGTACGACCCGTTGTTGTAACTTAACGCCTGAGCAAAAGAAACTCCTGGAGTCGTAGTTGATGGTATATATGAGATGAACATCACCACAGGCAACGCAGACTGCCCGTAGAGTGCAATAGTTTTTCGTGTGTCCATATTCCTGGCAATTTGTGCATTGGACCGGTCCATTTCGTTTGTGTGGTTCCTCAACGGTGATCCTACGGTGCAGTAGATATTGAAGCTTGTATATTGGGTGAACTTCATTTTTACTTATATGCATTCTTTCAGGTGTTCATGTATTATGTTCATTGCCATTTTGATTTCCAAGCCCTTATCGTTAAGTCCATCTATTATCTCATTGATTGGGACTGTTGGTTCAATTCCTTTGATAACCACTTGTAATCCTTTGCTACTTTTAAGTTGGTAGGTGTAGTAATTAATTTTTTCATTTTCAAGGTGTTTCGCAACTGATCGATAGTTTTGTTCGTCATTGACTTGTATTTTTGTTTCATTTATGTTACCCCTTTTTATAGACGTGACATATGTAGAATGTGTTTGCGCCAATTGTATTAGTTATTTTTTTGACCAGTTCAGCACAATTTGCCTGTCGAACGTAAATAGGTGTCGGTCTTAATTTTTTGACCTTGGGTGTTTGGGCGATTTCATCTTCATTTGAAACACTTAGTATCGCAAATCTATTGTTTGCTAGTGCCTTATGTGGCACAGTGTTCTCGGGTTTTTTAGTTAGTTTAGGTGCATTGTTGTTCTTTGAAGTTTTTGCGCTCAATTTTCTTTTGATTTGCACATAGCGATCGAGCCCAGTCTGAATTTACAGTGCGTTAGCGTTTTTCGAACTTATTGGTTGGGAGAGGTGGGGCTTCTCGCAGTGTGTCGACAGTATCGGGCGCTGAGCAATTGCAGTGGTTGTTGTTGTGGTTGTTGTCGTTGTTGTGGTCGAAGACAAAGTTTTGAGCGAGGGCATTGTACTAGTTGTTGTCGATATTAGCAAATCGTTGGTTAGGCAGTACGAGTCGGGGGATGCAGGGGAGAGAGAGCGTGCTCTCTCCTCGTTCACTTGCAGTGATGCAGTTTTTTTTGGTCCTGCTGCCTTTGACGAGCGTATAGAGAAGTACGCGTTGTTTTTTGCTTGCGAGAGCCGACGCTCGTCTTGTTGCTGTTGCCGGGCTTGGCTCATTTTGGCTTTGGTTACAGTGCTTGTGCTCTTTACCGAGCTGGTGCTCCTATAAGTTGACATTTGTTCTTATCTATTATTTCTATTAATCTTTATTACACGATTGGATGGTATTCATGGGCAGCACGATCACTAGTACCCATGCCTACGATTAATCACGATTAATTGATCTTCACGGCAGAGCGATACAAAAATACGTCTGAAGTCGCTGACGGTTGACGGTACTGTGGGATCGCTCTCCACTATGATATTAAACAGGCCGATCAAATTTGTATACTCGGTATAATCGCCACTGAATTTGGAGATCTAATTATATGACTTATATAGCTCTATTATTATATGACTGTAATATGTCCATGCGGCACTCCTATTGCGCCTTTGAAAAGGAAGACTGTTTATCCTTTAAGAACGCTCCACGTGCGATTGATATCCTTCTTAACTGCACTCAGCTTGCGAAGAATGTCGAACGACTCCACATCGTCAACATCTGCAGATTTTCTAGACAGTCCTCGCCGTTTTGCAGGCATTTCAGTTCTATACATTTTTTTTTGTTTCATTTGTCTACTTGTCCCATGGCCAACCTCAGCAATTAAACAATTTATTTCTGCCTGCTAGCTGCCTAATGCTGTTAACATTGCTA